TCGTTGCATCTTGGCATAGACACACAGTATGTTAACCGCTCAGTCACTGCCTCCATACTCCCTACGCTGACGGTTGTCGATTTTGGACGACGTGCCTCTTTTCAACCGTGCTTGGCACCGGAAAAACAAAGCCAAAAAGCGGTCACACCAAGAGTCGTCAACATCCCACCAAACTGTCAAACTATACCACATTCGGCGAAGGATGCGATAACCAAATGACCAACCTTTCATGAACCGCACGACTACAAAAAATACGACTCGCCTTCTGTGAACCGTGTCATATGACTTTGACTTTTCCAGTATTTATTTTGGCAGTGTAGAAAACGTCACAAAACCGGTTTAGGCACCTTTTCTTGATTGTTGTTGGCTCGTCCCGCCGAAAAAAAAATCCGAACAGGTTCGTCCTCATGCGAGACGACGGCGTTGCCGGAAATATTCTCGAGATAGCGGAAGTGGCAGCTGCGGCACGGAGTGGTGGCGGCGGTGGCGGTGGCGGCGTCCCTCCCTCCCGAGCAACTGCAGCTGCGGTGACGGCAGCAACGTCTCCTTCCAAGAGCACAACCGCCACGATTGCGTCCTTCAAGGGGCGCGCGAACGGGTGCGAGGTGGCAGGTCTTGCTCCCAACACCTTGTACCACTTTCGGGTACGCGCGGTCAACGCCAGGACGCGAAGCTCGCTCAGTGCTCCGCTCGAGGTGAGATAATCAGACAGACAGATGAGGAGATACAGAAGGAAGGGCCATGGAAGGAAGAATTTGAACACCTTGTGGGCAGAAAACTCTCTCCGTGTGCGGATTAGAGAGTTGGTTATCTACTTCTCCAAAATGTACTCGTTTGGATCAACCGCACCTGCGTATAGTGGAAAAAATAGGCACGATTACAATTTCTGTACCGAATGCAAGTCCAAACCAGAGGTCATCACGGCCCCCACTCTCAGCGTAGCCCGGGGAACTGCTAGCCACGAACGCAGAGCACAAGAGAGCCAGCCACCGGATATGAGGCATGGGAGTCAAACAGAAGCGTCGAACCTTGCCCCCGCCCCAGCCCGCCCTATTCGCCGCCATTCAACCCCTCAAATGCTTCTCTCGCGTCGTTCCATTCCTTTCATACTGCCCTAATCGAATCAAACGAAACAACAATACAACGACGACAACAATAGGTCATGACGGCTCCCCGCCGACCAGAACCTCCGGTCATCATCCGCTGCGAGCAAAGGTCGATCGTCGCCAAGTGGTATCCTGGCTGCCCAGGCAGCGCGCACAAGTACCGCCTGCAGGCTCGACTGGTCGAAGGGTTGGACGGGATCGGGGCCATGCACAACAACAAAAGTGTGCTCGCGACGACGGACAACAACCGTGCGAATACTACACGGGGGCGGGGCACTGGTGGTAACAGGAGGTCGGCGTGGGGGACTGCTGAAGGCGGTAGCGGCGGTTGCGGCGGCGGCGGGGGTGGTGGCGGCCGGGCGGTAGGAGAGTGGGTGACGGTGTACGAGGGTGTCGACAGCACGGCCAAGGTAGGCAACAGAGGAGACCAGGCACGAACGAAAGGGTCATGTTCACCCGCTGCGCTTAATGTCGATCTATCATAGTGTTGTTTTTCGGCGTGATGTTGTGCCAACAATACGACGTAAGCGCGGTTGCGTGTCTAAGTATCATGTGCTCTGTTCAGTCCTTGCTTGTCAGTTCAACCTCGTATGTGTGTGGTGCGTTTCGGCCTCCGTCTCAGGTGACGGGCCTGGCCGCGAACAGCGTCCACCACTTCCGGGTGTGTGCGGTCAACCTCCGGAATGTCGCTAGCGAGTGGTCCCTCCCGGCCCAAGCGGCAACCTCTTTGCGGCGAGCGGCTGGAAGCCGGGGCGGCGGTGGAGGGGGAGGATGGGACGACAGGGTCGGGTCTCTCCTATGCAAGCCCCAGCATGCCGCCGAGGTGCGGAGTTTGTAGGTCTAGTTTCGTTTCGTCCGAGGATCGAGAGGCTGCCGGTGTCGGCTGCCGTGGGGTGCGACGAAGAGATATGCGAAGGAGGTAGCAGCAGTCAACAGTGCAGTCATGTGTTGGCTATACCCTCGCGCATCAGCTACTGATCCTGGCGCGTTTGGATGAGTGGGTCTACAACTGTGGGAGTATCCATGAGCAACGACCCCGTTGATAGGGAAGTAATGTTCGAGGGCCTCGGTTTGGCAGTGTCTGTCTAGACTAACACGTGCAAATGTCCTTCCGCCTGAGTCGACGATTAGCGTGATCTCACAGAGAGGGCATCGTTTCGCATACCCATCGTGAAGTAACACGTAAAACCCGTCTAATGGCGGTACTGGCAAGAAACGCAAGAGCTTTGCAGTGGTATGAATCTTAAGAGCTCCTTACAGTTGACGTTCGCATGACGAGGAATTCAATGGTTCTCCCCCCCGCCCCCCTCCCCACGCCCAAAGGTTTTCCACGTGGATGCGGACGACGACATAGTCGTCGGCGACACGATAATATTCACCGAGCGCCTCTATGTCGACCAAGACGGGCAACTCGTCGCCGCAGGAGGGGGCACCACCACCACCAACATCCCGACCCCTTCCCAAGGCCCTTACCCCTCCCGCCACCGCCATGACGGATTCCCGGCAAACGCCTCGGGGGCCGCCGACCGAAACTCTCCCTCGGCCCCGCGCGTAAGCTTGAGCATGGCCAGCCTTGGTCTCGATGGCGCTGCTCCTGATAACACAACAGGGGCCACAAGAAAGGGAGGAAGGGCAAGAGGAGGAGGAGGAGGAGGAGGAGGGGCGAGATGGGCGACCGCCGCGGAAAAGAGTCGTATGCGGCAAGGTGGGCACGTGGGACGACCGTCAACGACAGCGATGGTGGTGCAGGGGGGCTCGTGGACTGATGGCGGCGGGGAGTTCGTCGGGGAGAGAACGGTGGCGTCGCACGTGCTGCAGGACTCGTTCCGGTCGATGAGGAGGAAAGAGCAAGGAGGCATGTTGGAGTACGACAGGTAAAAAGCAGGTGTTTGACGGGTGGGGCTGATGAGGTAGCGCTTGAAATACGTAGATAGGTGAGGGGTGGGGCGCGTGGGTTGCGAGCTTCTGTGTTTTCGCTCCCACTCGCCTTCGTGAAAGACGATAGCGCTATATCATGACGAACCGGTGAGGGTGGTACATATGCAGATCATAAACGTAAACAAACGAGTTGTACTAAACCTCTTGCGGCATAAGTTGTAGAGATGATATGATTTGACCAATATACCCACCGGCAAATTATGTCGTCACGGAAACACCTTCTCTCGCAGAAAACAACAATTTTAAGGACACCCCAGGGTGGGCTTTGTCATTTTTTTGGTCATCCGACGGGGTGTTAAACGGAAAACGCTCACGCAAAATTGTGGCAACGTTTTCGTTGTTGTCGCTGCTGTTGCTGCTGCTATTGTTATTGTCGGCAAGAACATGAGTCGCATTGTCACGGTCTGCCGGTGCGCAACTCCAGTATGCCGTCCGCTCCCGCAAGAGTTGCAGAGCACCAAGCGATTTTATGCCTAACTGCTTGATTAGCTGGCGGTAAGAACCGGCCAGACAGAGGGACACAACGATAGTTAATAATCGGTGTCGAAACGCTTCCCAAGCTGTCCTTCCTTTGCTTCTTGAATGCGTTTTCGCGCATGTTGTTTGGGCCTGACATCGCGCGTTCCAGCGTTAGAGACCCGAGGCAAATTGTTTGTGTGTCCGGGGGATGCCAACAACAGAAACATAAGCACCCACGCCCGTGGATGTTTCGCTCCGGGATGGTGTATCTTGTACGCCTCCTTGCCCTGGAGAAAGCCCTGAGGCACGCCTTTTATCCAAACGTTTTCATGCCCCACCCGAGGGGTTCTCAAAGGGTATGACGGTGTTGTTGCCATGAACAAGATGTAAATCGACACAAGAAGATGCAGAGATAGATACTTGTGTAGCTTTGTCCCATCCTCGAACCCCCGCCCCCGCGCGCGTTCTCCCGCCCCCTGTTCCTCAAGGCGTCATCATTGCCGATATCCTGTTGTCAATCCTGTCATCTACAAACGCGCTCCATATCGTCCGCCACTCTCATACACACGATCCGCCACACCCAAACCCCGGATTCCCTTCCAGAACAAAGAGTCGATGTCGGATGCTGCGGTTGGAGGTGATCTGGTCTACGGTTTCTAGCGAGGAGGCGAAGGGGTTTCTACTCCCGCGCGGGTCGATAGTAGAGCGCAACCAGGGGCGACTCTCGCAGTTCGAGACGTTCCGAGCTCTCTGGGCGCAGGACGAGAGGCGAAAGAGCGTCCGAGAAGAGTGGGCTCTGCTCTCTGGCGTGTTGTGAGGCGGAAGGCTCTTGATTATTATAGCCTCATTCTCAACGCACGATTTTTCAGAAGTGGCGACCTAGCTTGTTGTTTACTTTTTGAGGACCGAAAAGATGTATCAGGCTCTTTTTCTCGCCGAAGGTTTGGAGGGCGGTTACCAATAGCACTTGGCCAAGTGATCATCGATTCTTACAAGTTTTCGGCGTGAAGTTGGCGCGTTTTGCATCTGCGTTGGGTACATATTGCTTGCGTCGGATGAACGAAGTTTTGTCTTGTTGGAGCCTGAGATAGTTGAGGAGAATCGCGCTTTAGAGCTAGTTTCACCATGTTATCCTATTCTTTCCTGGGCTGATTCGAGGGGTGATGGTGAAAACCAACAATACAATATATGTCATATGAAATACGAGTTGCGTTTCCCGTGTCTCAAAACTCAATTTGACTTTCTCGGGGTTGATCGCTGGCGTGGTTCGAACGATTTCATCATCGTTACGACAACGATAGCTCCGGCAGCGCATCGACGATGGTTCCAGCAACACATGTAAGCTGCTCTTCCTGTATCTTGCTCCGCAAAGATGGTCAACACTCTTTCCGTCCAAAATAATCCCCACGATCGTTCACCAAATTGGGAAGCAGATATACTAAGTAAATAGAATCGTCGCTCGCGTGTACAAGCGATATTTTCAACCAGAATGCGTTCTCATTGACGCAAGTCCCAGTCTCCTGAGGCAAACGTTACAACGGGCGAAGAGGGCCTCGTTGACAAGATCTGCCTCCCGATGGCGTCCCACACCATGTACTGCCCCGGTCCTGGACTCGGTCGGGTCGAACTTCCCCCGACCCCCCCTGGCGAACCACCTCCTGTGCCTCCGTGGCAGCCTTTGCCGCCGCCCTCGTCGCCGCCGCCGCCCCCTCGAGACCCTAAGCGCCCTCCCATCAAGACCCCACAACGCACCCCCGGGTGGGTGCTCGTGGACGAGAGGTTTGGACAGAAGCTTCCAGGCCCCGGTTCCGGTCTCTTGTCCGCCTGGAACATGGACAAGTTCTCAGACCCGAGGCCGTCCCTCGCGAACCCAAACGCCGGCGACGTCGCCCTGCTCGAGATGGTCTGCACGCCCAAAGAGGTGTAGTCGAGCAGCTCCGTTTCTTCGTGTCCGCCGCCGTCGTCGACGCCTTCGGCGTGGGCATTATCATCCAAACCCCGCTGCGCCCCCCTCGAAACACCCCGAGATCCTCCACCACTCCCTCGGCTTCCGCCGCCGCCACCACCACCGCTTCTGCCGCTGCCGCGCGAGCCCGGGCGAGAGGAGCGCGGGGAGACCGGCGGCGCTTCCCCGAACCCCCACGCGGGAGAATTCGGACGAACCGGGTCGTGGAAAGGAGATACCGGCGTACCGCTTGCCCGTAGGCTTGCGTGCAGCCGACGGGAGGGAGAGGATTCAAGGAAAGCAGTTCTCTTGGCCTCGGTGGTGTAGGCTGCGGCTGCGGCAGACACTAACCGTCCACCACAAGGGGGCGCGCTCCCACCCCCGCCGGAACGGCGGAAGAGCGGCTCTTCTTCCGAGCCCGCAGGAAGCCATTTCTGGAGACCATTGGTCGCTGCCGGGTGTTGGGGCTCCGATGCCAAGCTGGAAAAGTCGAGAGGCTGGCGGGGCTCCGTAGTAGCCGCTGGCATAACGACGCGGCTTGTGTCGTTACGTGTGCTACCGGCGGCGGCGTTCGCCTTCTGCTGGGGCTGTGGAAAGAAACCTCGCTTAGCGTTGAGTTTGAGCCAGTGCTCTCGCTCGTTTGGCTCCTGTGCAACGGGGAGCGATGGAAGAAGAAGTTGGAACGTGTCACGTTGCGTTTGGCATGCAACGCTCGGTGGAGGGGGTTGACTTGGGGTTTCAGGTGGGCCAGCAGTTATCCTTCAGCTATGTGGCATTCACCTGTACCACCTAAGTAGTTTGAACAAAACATATTGCCCAAGACGTTGGACACATGAATGACGCCTCTGGCGACACCGTCATGTGCAACACAAGCAAGTTTTTTGCCGAGCAGACCGATGACGTCGAGATCTTGCTCGTTCGGCGATACTATTGAATTCAACAGGAACAAACGCGACGACACCGCTCTGGCGATGCAACCAAGAAATTGAATACTGCGCTTCTCCAGCCAAACGATAAATAAAGGCTCCAAACGTATGTTAACGCGAGGTATCCGTTTTATTGGCAGAGCGAAGAAACAGGGATCTCGATTGACTTCGAGGCAAAGTCTATTTGCCTAGCAAGTACTTCCATTCGGGAAGGATCCCTCTGTATTCGTCACCGTGCTAGTCATGCGCACCTCTCTCCCGTCTGCGGTAAACTATATAAGCCACGTGTCACCTTCAGGGTGTTGTAGCGGAACATGAGCTTTAGCCTCGCGATTACTTCAGCGGGAGACCGACGAGGAAACAATAAGCAGTGGCGCTGGGTGTATCGGAAGAAATGCTCTCGTTCGGCGTGCACGCCTCTGCGTGGGGGCCGCCCTAGGTCCCAGTCTGGAGGGGAGAGGGAAAAAACCGGAGCGAGGTCAAGAAACGACCAAACACTCAGGCTGCGTCAGTCCCCTCAGCTTGTCCTTGTTTCTGAGGGAACTGTTGGTACGTAGTTCTACAGGCGTAACCACGCTCAGCAAAGAGGAGAGTCTCCCCCCGTCCTGAGTACCACACATTTAGGGAGGAATGCATCGCCAAGCCCACAAGATCAGCATTCACATTACCGCACAAAGGCGCGATGAGGTGCAGCAGTATGAACAACTGCTGGTATTCGGAAACGACAACCGCTGATTGCTGCAATCGGACTCACAAATTTCGTTCAGTTTGTCTCGCTCTTGGGGTCCCCACGAAGACGAGGAAGGTCCGGCTCTCGATTTAGCCGTCGATGCGTGTGCCTCACGCCTCGCCAACGTTTCTAGGGCATCTCCTCCTTCTTCTCCTCTGCCACTGCCGAAGGTGCAACGTCCGCCGCCTTGAAACGGACTGGGGGCTGTGCGTTGTTTTGGCATTCGTTCCAACGAGAGCTCTGTGCTGTCTGCTGTGAACGATGAAGACGACGAGGGGTTGTTTGAAAGAGGGTGGTGCCTCCTGATGCCGGTGCTGCTCTTGTCGGTGCTGAAAGCGATTCCTTCTTTTTGGTCAGACCCGTCGAGATTTTTTTTACTGTCAGCTGTGCATCCTTGCCCCGCCGCTTGTCCTTGTTCTTCCCTTTTTCTTGTTCTCCGTTTGATTTTTATCCGCGCCTCGGCAGCGATGGCCATCATATCGTCGTGCTTCTTGTGGCGTTTGTTGATCCGGTCGTACTTTTCCCAGACTGCGACAGGAATGCGTTTTCCAGCCGAAGTGAAGCTGTCGATCTCGCGGGTAATCTCTGCCAGATCGTTCACCTGTTTGAGCATACCGAAGAGTCGCTTCGGCTTGGTGCACCATGTTTCACTGGATAGAGTGCGGCCAAGCATTGTTACCTAGGTATGTGTTCTCCATCCTGTCAAACACGGAAACTCCCTGGTTTTTCCGTTCTAACGAAGTAGGATGTTGCTTGTGCAACGAAAAGTGTGTCTTGATGTACGCCACTATCCGGGTCGTTCAATAGTCAGTGCGTACGAAAGTAGCGACGACACTAATGATTTGAACCAGTTTTTTGTGCCCTCGTGTTGTCCTTGGGAATTCGTTGGAAATAGTGCCTTTGAAGAGCGGCCCCCCGTCGAGGCGGCCACACCATTTCGAAAAATACTCCACGACACCGTGTACGTGAATCGTGTACTTTCTGTCAATCTCGGCGATCGTCCGTGATTGAACGTAGCATCGTTCGTGTGTTGCGTTCGGTATGAATTATGTCAGGCACCCGGACTTCATTTCAGTGGTAGTAGCTGCGCCTTGCCATGGTTTCATTCAAGAGGCAAGACGATGTTTACCTGATTGATGGTGACTCGCTCCTTGTGGTGTTGGTGACGATGGTGCGAGGTGGTGACCATCGAGCTCTGGAAGAGATGACGGAGAGACATGAGAGAAAGAGGGCGATCAGGCGAATGTCGTCACCACGCCTACATTTGCGCTTCTCAGGAGTGAATTATTGCTTCTCCCGACACGTTTGACACGTAGACACATAGCCTCGCTTACGGCCTAAGCTTCGGAACGAGCACGCACATCGGTGGTGTAGAATATCTCTCGTTTTCCGCGTGTATCGTCTGTTGGTTCTACGCCGGATGGGTGTGGGCGACTAACCTTGCCCGCGACGGAAAGTCTTGTTCGCGCGGCGACACCATGATAGCGATGTGGGCCTAGTCGAGCCTCCCTCTTGCCGAAGCCCATTCTCCCAAGCGCTGCAAGGCTCTCCTTGCCGAGAAACGATTCGAATTCCATGGTAGATCCCGCCGGCTGTCCCGTATCTCCTTGAATCGGTGCTTCGGTGTACCAATGGTGTAGAGTACATATACATGCGGCCAGAGAGACGAACTAAATGTATCGTGAAAAGAACCCGCCTCAGCGTAGACGAGAGGCTGACTTGGCAATATGTTCCAAGTATGATGATCTATCGGTGTGGTGCAATATCGTCGTGGCGTTGACTATAGCAATACCTATGTTCCAGTCCAAAGTCTACGTGGCACGACAAGGACGACTCGACTCGCCGGTTGTGTTCTGAACGGAGTGAGAAGCGAGATGCATGCGGTTACATAAATTGACAGTGACAAGAACGGCTGAAGGACTTTGATAAACGAAACGCCCGTATTCAGTCCTTCCGAGCATAAATAAAGAATCAAAATCCTTGACAGGCGTTGGGGTGGTGGTGTCCTTACCTGCACACGATCGGGCTAAGAAAACAGCTGTTCGGTACGTGCTCAAGATGTATGATTATGTCTATTTCAGGTTGTACATGTGTGATTAGTAGAGACGAAAGTGTCGTCCGTGTTAGGGTAATGTGGACATCTGTTTCAGTTAGCCCTCAGTCCTACGCCGTCAGGTACAGCAGTAGTACATGTGTCGATCCTGGACAAAAGCATGCGCAACCCTCCTGTTGGTGTGTTCTGTGCGTAGGTTCACCGACATCGTAGACTTCTTTTAGCCTGGATCACGAGGACAGGAAATACCTCGTCTTATAGTACTAATGAAGAAAAAGCAGCGGTAGTTGCGCAGCACGGACTGCTGTAGACTATTTTTGGTGTCCACACGAGTTCTACAAGCCTCGTCGATCATAGTGACAATCCAATTATCCGTAGGGTGCGCAACCACCGCTTTCCGTAGGTACACTTGGTGTAGCAAATGTGTTCACCTTTGATGATGCTTGTGTGGGCTATGGTCTGGTCTGGAGGAGGTTGAAGCGCAGTAAGTAGATATCCGCCTCTTTGCACCTGCACCTCGACTGCTAGACGGCAGCAAGCAGCAAAGCGGTGCGTTCTCCGGTGCGGCGTGATTGCCGAACCTATTTTACATACTTTAGATACCGAAACACGGCGAGAACCCTTGCTGGAGTTGTGGAATTCCACCGCCGATGTTTCAGTTGCGGTGTTTCAGACGCTGCCTTTGTTCTAGAGGATGTTTGCCCAGTAGCGTTTAGCAATGTACGAGCTACAGGTGAATGGGGCGATGGAGGTGTCCTGTCAGGTATGGCGTAGGTGAAGTCGCCGTCTGGTATACGCACCTCTTGCGAGAGAGATAGACGATGTCCGTAAGAGATTACACGGTGGTGCGTCAGGCCACCCACAGGTACAACTACTGGAGTATCACATCCACCCTGATCTCACCTCTGGCTGCTCGTCAATATTCACTGTGGAAGTTGACGCGTAATGCACAAGATTGTCGTTACCAAGACATGTTAGCCAGAAAATCTCCGATTTTTGGCAGGAATTATGCCTGGTAAGCGTCGCGCGCTTCAGACTACGGCAGGTGGCCCGAAATAGTGGTATGAGGTACTGAAGCCAAAAACATGCCGCTATTCAGAGCAGTGCGCTTTTCCTCTACCTCCTGATGCTTGTTCAGCAAGTTGGGCCAACGGGTCAGTCGCAGCTATAGTGGCTTCTTGCGCCGTTTCTGTTTGGCCTTTATTTTCTGACTCTGACTGAGGGCCGGGGTGAACCCGTCATCAGTAGATCCAGGGGGAGATTTCGTCTCCTTGTTCGGGCTTGTTTTTTTCACGCCAGGCATTGTCATCTGCGCTGGTACTGCTGTATGTACCCTCGAAGAGACTTTCGTCGAACGCCAATGACAAACCTTTCTCTGTTACCGAGCAAAGGTCCTTGAAGTAGTGAATAACGTTCACCGGCGGAGGTATTTCGCTCTTGTTGCAATGTGGCAAGGGATTGCCAAGCGTGGCTGACTTTGTCGGTCTTGCTGGGTTGAAAGGTGAGACTGAGCCTCAGGGGCCCGCTTTCACCCTCCGGCTGGTCACAGCAAACGGAGGGTCATTTCTTTATGATATCTTCAGACGTCGGGTACATCGTTCGTAGGGTCTCGGATCTATACGGCTGTATGTGCGTCACTATGGTGCCACTAGGAAGATACCTACATCCTGGTTTCCACCTGGTGTTATCTATCTCGGGAACATCGTGCTAGACAATAGGGAGCAATTGGTGCTGTGTTAGATTGGCAAGCGGAACAGCAGTTATTCAAGAATGCAACGGTTAAAATAGCCGCAACGCCGGGAAACAATAAAACCCGCAACCGCATCGGCAGATGAATTAACTGCTCAATACTAGCTTTAGACGGTGAGATACAGAACCAGTTCCTGTCTATCTCAGCAAGAAACGCTGCGTTCCTGCCCAACATGAAATAGCAGTGGAAGTATGTTCACTCGAAGCTCGGCAGAAATAACACCGGCTTTGGTAGAACCGCGCATAGTCACAACTAAAGGTGTGCGGGTAGAAGGTGTTCCACAAGTATTCCGCAGGAAGTAATAGCACTTACTGTGTCACTTGCCTGCGAATAACAAAGGAGCGGTGGTCCAAATAGCCAACCCCATCGGCAAGTGTACGTCAAGAAGAACACGCTTGTAGGCACATCTCTCCCGTGAAAACCGTGTTGCCGCAAACAGCGAGCAGTGTTCAAACGAGTGAAGAAGATACGGCAAAACAGCGTCAAGAGCTGAAAAAGGCACTTTCCGAAGCTTTCAAGAATACCACCTTTTCGCCAGAACAGTGTGGAGAAATGCTGCACTTGTGTACGAAATACCGTTCAGTTTTCTCACTAACGCCGGACGAACTAGGTAGGTGTACTATTGCAAAGCTGTTTTTCCCCTTCAACCAGGTACAAAACCTGTTAACAGGGCTCCGCATTGTGTGTTGTCAATGATGGACCATCTCACACGCTTCGCAGTCTGACACCCATTCCGAACAAGTCTGCTGAAACGGTAGCTCGGACAATCATTGATCGGATAATGAGCATCTTTGGACCACCAGAAATGTTGCACTCTGATCAACGCACCGAATTTGGAAAGAAGATCATGTTGCAGTTACAGGAAATCCTCGGGTACAAGAAAACCCGGACGACACCATATCGGCCACGAGGCAAGTCAGTCAGAACGAGTGCACTCTACAATGCATGCAATGCTAGCGATGCACAGCTCTATGGATCGAAATAACTGGGCGGGACTTCTGCCGATGGTACAACTAGCGTCCAACGCATCGTTTAGTGACCATGCATGACACACGGTTTTTCTGCATGTTCGGTCGCCAAGCACGTTTACCTGTAGCTGTAATGCTTGGGATACCACACGTCGGGACAACCGCAGACACCGAGAATTTTCTCAACAACACAAGAGGCAACCTGCAGATCGCGTTCGACCCAGCGCGTCGAAACCTGACGGAATGTGCTGAAAAACAGGCTGGAAAAACAAACATTTATACCGCAGTATCCAGTGTTCAAACCTGGTCAACAAATGCTCGTATACAAGCCATACCAGGACACTGATGGACCACATCCGAAACTGCTTTCGCCATGGAGAAGACCATTATCGTTTGTCCTCAACTGCTACCAGTTGTTTATCGTGTAAAACGAAGTAACGATAAGCGGGAAACGCCTGTGCACCTCGCCCATTTGAAGCTGTATCACGCACGGCAGAAACCTCCAGCACCACAGTTTTATGGCTGAATTTTTCTTGGGGAAACAAATTCCTTTGCCGTCGCTGAAACAAACCTACGTTTATCAGCCGCAAATTGAAAGATACGTCGTTGACAAAGTGGTAGGCAATAAAACAGGCCCAGGCCCAAAAAGTCAACACAACTACGAGTATCGCCTGCGTTTACGAGGGTACGGCCCGAGTAGGACCTAGACTGGTGTATCGAGCAGACGAAGTACCACAATGTCATTTCCCCATACAAGCTGGTTCACGCAAGAAAAACAAAATTTGTTCCCCGCAAATCTCTCGTTCGAGATAGGTTACCAAATTTTGCACAATTGTCCGCAAGATCGATGTCAACTTTCCACGAGTGGGGTTTTTCGATTTTTTTTTATTCACCGAACAATCGGGGTCACGCACGTTCCCGGGACAGAAAGGCTGCGCTGGACCCTGAATATTCGGCGAACAAAAACAAAAATAGAAAAACCCCATTCGTAAAAAGTTTGACATCGATCTTGCGGACAAGTGTGCAAAATTTGGTACCCTATCTCCAAAAAACCGAACGAAGGATTTGATTTTTGTATCAAAAACCTGAAATTTCCTCTGCGAACCCCATTTTTACTTGGATTTAGACTAAAATGCGCTCTTTGGGCACAACTTTTCGCTTGAATCGACCGCTCTACCTCAGTTTCACTCCTTGGGCAACGAAACTTTGTACAATCCATCAACACCCTACACCGGAGCCGACCGAATTCGTTTTTTTTTATATTTGAGGCATATACACCGGCTTCCGGGGGTCCTATCCGTTAGACCCCCACAAGCCGGTAGGAGCGCGAAAACTTTGTGAATAGTGTTCAATAACATTTTTTCGGATTCAATGCATTAGTACTTGTCAAGCTGCCAAATTTGGGGACTATCCAAGCTTTCCTCAGATTTTTAAGACGGAAACCGTTTCGATGCTGTCTGGGCGGTTGCTCCGTACAAGCGGTGGCCATTTGACGACGCCAAAGGACCAGAACACTGGAAATCCCACCTCTTTGAACGTAACTCGCTCCAACGGTGGCCGTTTTCACTTAGGCTTTTTTGGTGTGTTCCCTAGAGCTTGAAGGTCACTTGGGGTTGAACTAAGGCCGAAGAAGGTTCGCGTTGCATTGGTATTTTGAGTTGTTGATTCTCGAACAGCGTGAAGGCCGCTGATTGGCCAAGACGCGTTTTTGCGCCTAACCAAAGGTGTCCTCGGAAATTCCAGCTATGTCACTGTCTTAGGCTTAGCGTGGGGGTCACTATGGTATATAAAGTGTGTTGATTGGTGAGCACTTGCGTTCATTATCAGTGGGGGAACAAATTTGGGGTTTCTTGCGTGAACCAGCTTGTACAGATCGAAACATGGTCTGAGCATTGCGCTTGCTGGAAAATAGTCATCTGACAAGCATGTCCACAAACGGAAACGCGACAGTGACGAAGGGAAGAAACCGAGTACGAGCAAACGCGCTAAGCAACAACAGTCGAAAACGTATTCGATCTGTTGCAAGCAAAGCGTGAAAACAAGTACTCAGCGGAAGTGCAAAAGAAAACGAAAGGTGAACAAAAATGTGTATCTCAAATGCATGAAAAGCGGTGAAGGAATAGCACCCATCAAAATGGAAGCTACACCAGCGATTGTTTTGGGTCAGTCGCTGGCGAGGAAAGTCAAGTAACACCATTTCTAGATGATGTTTGGGGTCACAACCAAATGGTTTTGTTGATGAGTCGTGACAACAGTCTGACTGTTCATACACTGTTGTTGTTGTTGTTGTTGTCTTCACATTCAAAACCATCCCGGTCTCTCTATCCAGTACCTCCTTCTGTCTCAATCTCTCCGTACTAATCCATCGACTCGGCCAATTTCCGTGGTCACAGGCTAACGTACCTAGAAAAGGTATACCAAAATAAAATGGACCCCAAGGGTCAGCAGAGCGATAAAATACAAGAAAACAAAATATAATCAGAAACAAATAAAATAAAATAAAATAAATAATTAGACTAGTGGAACGGCCGCACCACCAGCCTGGGGGGGTAGCCTCCCACTACATGGAGGCAGGTCGACGGCCAAAGG